GATGAACTCTAGGTGTGGAATGAGGACTGTATTTTCAGGCATAGCCAATGTGTTGATTTGTTTTCCTTGATTATATTTACAAGATGGGATGATGTTGGATGGGGAAGGGTGAGTAACAATGATACAAAAAAAATCAACAATAAACTTTAAAAAAGAAAGTCCACATGAAAAAGGACAGTTGTTTTTGTTTTGTTTTGTTTTTTTGTTTTTTGTTTAACCTGTGCTTCTCCTAAGACTTCTTAAATAGAATATACAATCCTCTATGCAGGTTCATTGTTGTTCTGACACAATGATTTACTGTGGATTGAACTAGATTGAACTTGACTGTAATGGATTATATTTCATTTAATTGTAATTCCTTCTAGACTCTTCTTTAGCAACCACTCAGATTTGGAAACAAAACACTCCTTCCCTGCTTTAAGCTTCATGCTAGATTTGGTGGTCTATGGCAACACTTTCCTATCCTGTTTTGAAGGTCATGTTAGTTTTGAACCAAAGAGATCCAGTCCTGCTAATAATAAAAACCTACCTCCATAGCACTGTCTATTAGCTAGGGGAGTTAAGTGGGTATGATGAAGATATTATACCCTGCTCCTTAAAAATAGCTTGAAGAAAATAAGATGGCAATTGATAATAATTATACTAAGGCCCTGTTAATGCCTTAGTAGATACAATCTTAATCCTGGCTAATTTCAGTTCAAGTATACTTTTGTTGATGTGGTGATAATGATAATTAATAAAAACAAGTAGCTTTTATTTAGTACTTTAAGTTTTGCAAAGTGATTTGTAAATATTATTTCATCTTATCCTCACAACAACTCTGTGGCTTTTTTATTACAATTTACAGGAGAGGAAACTGAGGAAGACAGAGGTTGAATGGCTTGTCCAAGGTTACACAGCTAATAAATTCCTTAGGCAACATTTGAACCCATAGCTTCATGACTCCAGGTTCAGTGCTTTATGCACAGCAAGACTATGGGTGCCTCTAAGTAGTCCAGGAACTTTAACATAAGAACTTTAAAGGCACAATTCCATATTGTTCAACAAATGTTAACCAAAAATATTCATGTCACAGTTTAAATGATTCCACAATTGGCTTAAGTTATAATACATTCAGATAGAACAACCCAATGAGGGGAAAAGATCTCTGCTTTTGAAAGGAATCAGTGAAGGGAACTCTTAGTGAGGAATTTCCTTTACCAACATATACTAGCACCTTCTCTGATACTTTTAATAGGGAAGAAAGAGATTACATAATTTGCCCCAAACACATAGTCAATACATGGAAAAAGCAGGACTTGAAGTTAGATTTAATTGGCTGTGCAACAGTTTTCTTAACATTGCTTTTCACATTCTATTTGTAGATAGGAACATGCACACTCACACACACACACACACACACACAAACACACACACACAAACAAATGGAGTAAGGTGTGGCCAGAGTTTAGATTTGGGGTGTTTCATATAGTTACCTCACCTATGTTCCTAAGATAAGCATTCCCTTGAAAAACCATTTTTCTAAAACAAGAATTTACTTCCCATGTAAAGCATGCTCAGGAGCCATCACTATTATTGGTACACCACCAAACTATTAAATTAAGCATTTTAAGGGTTCCTGTCATTTGTAAGAAAATTACAGCTGTCAGCTCCCCACCACCACACACAACTTTCTACTACTACATTTTATAATAATTCATCATAGGAAATACATCTTAATAAGACTGTTCTTTACAGCTATTTCACATGACTGAAGATGAATGACAATTTCATCATTGCACACATTTGTTTAGCTAAAAAAGGTACACCTTTAAATAAATTCCAAGCGACATAATTACTTCATTTTGTGATCCAAAAGCAAATTAGAAAAAACTCATTTGAAAATTTGCCAATCTCCTTCCTTTATGTAAGGCATGTTTCTCATTATTGATAAATGCCATATGGTTTCATTTGTTTGCTGTCCTGGTAGCACCACTGGGAAAAGTCCAAATGAATGCAGGATATTTTTGTAATCAAACCAAGCAACAACTAAAAATGAAGTTGATGTCTGGGGTATAAAAACACACACACCTGCATTAATAACTGATATTCAATTTGTTATATGAAATCTGCACAATTTTATTTATTTGATATACTTTTCAATAACATGCAACAAATTACCCTTGTTGGTTAATAATAAATCCCAGGAATTTCATTATAGCTATATTAAAATCTATTTGACTTGTATGAGTAAGAATAATGAATAACAGATAAGGAATCTCTTTTTATTAAGTATCTTCTATTCAATTTACAGGTACATTAGATCCTAATATAGCCAAACTTCTCTTCCTCTGGTTGAAAAAAAAAGAAAGAAAGCTTATGTAACTAAAATTTTTTTCCCCCACAGAATGGTACAAGTATATGTACTCTGCATACTAATGACATTGAGGGAATTCAAGATTCTGAAGTGCCCTCTGGATACTCAAAGGAAGATTAATTGTGTGCAGTATAGTTTGTGCTATATATTTTTATTGTTTTATTTATTTCTTTTTAACAAAGGGATAATTCTTTAATGGCATATCTGTCAACTATTTTCAATTCACCAGAGCTTTCCAAACCCAACTGGATTTGCTGCATAAAAGGTATGCCTCTCATGTGCAGTGATATTCCTGAAGGTATTTCAAGTTCAATACCTGGTATTGATATGTCCCAGTACAATGGTTTTCAAGGCAAGAGACTCTAGGGCTGGTTATGCCCTATGCAAATATTTGAAATAGGATAATGCTTATACTTTTGTTTTGATCCTAAAAAAAAAAAAAACAACTAATTTGCTTTTGAAACCTTGTCTTCTCACAAACTACTTCATGTTGCTACTCTAAATCTGATGATTTAAACTGGGTAAACTATTGGTCTGATATTTGAAAAACATAATTATTCTTTTAATTCTATACTATTTTTCTAAAACAGATGAAACATTTACTGGCTTAGGCAGTTTCTGGTCTCTTTCAGTCTTCTTTTCCCAGTAACTTTTTCTTCATTTAAATTTTTCTAGAAGAGGATGATAGTTGGCACCTAAGGCTTCATTTTTGTCCAATTCCTATTTCTCTGAGCTTTTACTCTCCTGAAATAGACTTTGAGAACCTGGTCAGCTATTTGACATGGTAATATATCTAATCATTGTATCACAGTTAGAGTTTAAGCCATTAATGGAGGTTTCTCTCACCAGTAGGTGTATACACACACACACACACAAACACACATACAAAACTAAACACACACATGTGCACATACCTGCACAGTGTTTTAAGGGAAGCTTTAAGAGCTTAAAAGTATGTATACATTACTTTAGGTTAGTGAAGTGGCACTGCTGAAGCCAGAGGCTAATTGATCCTTGAATTTATGGTAATAAAAATGGTTATTGACCACATGAATTATAGTAAAGCATATACATGTGTGTGTATTGATCCTTATTTATTCATTTGACTACACATAATCAAAGTTTGAAGCAATTACATTAACTCTTACAGAGCACTGTATACACAAAATGACAACATTCTCCTTTTCTGACTTTAGAGATAATTATCACCCTGTATTCCTAAGCATGGAAAGAAGAGTTTCTTTCCATAATTCTCTTATGCTTTCTCATCTTTCTAGGCATAAACTCAAGTGGACTATCAAATCCTCTCATAACATCTGTCATTATCATCAAGTCACTGAACATTCAGGATTTACCTCTGTCTTCTGGCCTCTTATGATGTTTCTACTTGATAGTAAAATGTCATTTTGAAATTCATTAATGGACACATATGGAAATGAATTTTAGTTTTGTAGTATGCAAACTGACTTTTTCTTACAAAATGTCTCAATAAAACATTTCTCCCATTGTGTATGTTAGGCTTCTTAAATCATTGTTGACTTGAAGGCAAATTTTCAGTTGGTCTATACAACCTAATCATAGCAAAGGGTATTGCAATTATATGGTGAAATTGGGACAATTTAGAGTTCCAATCCAGATGATCTAAGAGAAAAACAAAATACTTTGGTATAGATTATCTAGATTTACTTCTTAGATGGTCCCAAATTGCTAAACTAATCCTTTTTATCTTGCCTATTTTAAATTAGACTGAGATTGGTTTTTAGCACACCTAAAAAGCCAGTTAAAATATTTTGAAAGAAAAAAAGATCTACTTCATTTCAGTAACATTTTTTGATGGTAGGAGGAGTGTTGCTTATCTAGTGCCAACTAAGTAGTTCATTTTTTTTTCAATGTTCAAGTTCATTCTTTGGTATTTTCTAACCAGTCAGTCTTAAATTTCTGAAATGAAGATAACTTGAGATTAAAAAAAAAGGTCACAAAAAGAATAAAAGTTAACAAAGGTTAGCTATTTTATGTTTTATTTGGACATCAATTCTACCAAGATAATATGAACTTGGGATTGGGAAGAGCTCAGTTCAATTCCTGATTCTAGCAGGTACTGTGTCACCCTGTAAAAATCTTTTTACTTCTGTCAGACTCAGCCAACTTACTAAGGCCTTCAGAAGCCAAATATTTTACAGATGAGAAAATCAAGGGCAGGGAACATTAAATGATTGGGTTTGGGATTACACATTAATAATCAAAGGTTGGATGTGTATCTGAATCCAGAACCTATTCTCTTTCTACCATTTGCCATCTCCAAAGCTACTGAGTCTTAGGTTGTGATCTCTATCTGCAGTGTTGGAAGAAGTTCTTTGGGAATTAACTTGAGCATATTATTTGCCTACCAATTCAACCAATACCAAAAGCTGATCCAGAAAGTCCCTGGCCATCAGACACTTATTTCTGGGAAACAGAAAACCTTAGTTCTTTAAATCTCATAATTCTCTTTTCTGTATTAAGCTTTTGACAAATGATTTTGACATTTGCCCTTCATTCATGACAATGTCTCATCATAAGGTTACCACTTAGGTAACATCCAAACTATTTTTAGAGTCATCCCTAGATAGAAAATCTTTAAAACATCCTTAAATAAGAGTGAAAGATCACTTTTTGGGTCTTTTGACTAAGATCAAGTAGATCATCTATTCCTATTAGTTTATTATCTGATAGGTCCTCTACCTAAGGATTGAATGTTAAATATATTTTTTTGGAACAGGGAGATGGAATAGGAACTTGCTCTGTCCACTTCACAAATTGATGTGACAGTGTAATACTTCTGGAAATAGTGCATTTTCCCCTGGGAAATTAAAAAAATAATGGTGAAAATATATCTTTCAGCCCCATCCCCAATTCCCTACCAATACACATACATGCACATCATCTAGCTTCAGAGAAAATCTTAGTTGTTTTGTCATTTGAAGATGCTCTCTTTAAGTGATTCCTTTTGTCTGAACATAGAACAAAGGAAATCATTTGATTTGTGTCTTTTTTTTTCCTATTGGCATGAAATATTTTACGTCAACTAGAAGAAGTAGGAGGTAGGAGAAGGTGTAATATTCCTTCCCCACTCCCAACTCTAACTTCTTCCATCTCCTATGTCCTCAACAACAACAACAACAACGACAATGACAGACTATTGGTGTTATATGACACCATTTGTAGACATACTAATAGATTGTTTTTTAAAATAGAACTATAATAATGGAATGACAAAGCTTAAAAATTGATTTATTTAACATGGAAAGTGTGATTTTTTTTTTTTTAGCCTGCTAGCTACCAAATCCCAGTTCAGTTCCTAATTGATTTATGTACTATTTTCTCAATTCCCATTTGAGGTCCAAGCAGTCTTTTCATAATTTGCCATGAAATAATTGATCTGTTTAAAGCAACAAAGACAATGACAACAACCAAATTAGATTGTCTTTTTCCTTTAGTATCCTAGTTTCATATAGCTTCAGAATAAACCCACTCTGATTTTCAGTTGTATTCCTTTTAATTATTATTTTAATGTATTGAGTTTCTCTCTGCCTGATGGTTTCTAAGACTTCCAATGGGAATAACATAGCCTATCTTTTACCCTCTTATTCTATAGCTTCTCTCTTGTCTTATCAAAAAAAAAACATGGAAAAGGAGAGGGAGAGGAGGAGATGCCACAAGGAAAAAGGGGACCTTTCCTTTTTCCTTTATTGTTTGCACTGTCTTCTATTTTGATTCCCTTACTTTTATGACTTGTGACTAAGGTATTATGAATCATTTAACTTAATATAATAATAATAATAATAATAATAATAATAATAACAAAAATAAGAATAATAGCATTTATAGTGCTTTAATGTTTAAAAATAACTTTACAAATATTATCTGATTTTATTCTTGAAACAATTATGGCAGTTAGCAGCTAATATTATCCTCATTTTACAAATAAAGAAACTGAGGAAGGTAGCAAATAAGTTAACTGCTCTGAGGCACACAGGTAATAAATGTATAAGGCCAAATTTAACCCATGTCTTCCTGTCTCCATGTCCAACATACTGTCCATTGTGCCATCTAGCTGCCTCTGTAGCATCAGTAAGGATCTATAGGATCATCTGTGAAATGATTGAAGGCTGAGTTCCATTTCCCTCAGATGACTTTATTCATAAATTTGTTAACACATTTGAAACAATTTCAATATTTTTTTCTAATGATAGAATATTAATTAGATTAACCAACCCCCTATGAACATTTTAAGACCTTTATAACTTATTTTTTTTCTCCATTGGAGACTCAACTCTCCTTTGGAACTCAAGTGTAAGACCTCCATTACACTGAAGTGTAATTCTCTGTCGGAGACTCAGTTCTCCATTGGAACTCAAGTGTAAGACCAAAGATGCCCTGATTACCTTTGGATAAAACATAAACTCCTTGGTTTGTCGTTTAAAGCCTTACACTGTCTGGCTCCCAATTACCTTTCCAGATGTATTTCATACTGCTACCTTTCAAGCATTTTCTATTTCTGTCAAAAGCTCCTACAAGATGTTCCATCTCACTCCTTTTTTGCTTTTGCAAAGGTTGGGGGGAGTTCCCATGTATGAAATACTGTCTCTCCTCAGTTTCCCCTTAGCATATCCATACTTGCCTTCAAAGAATAGTTTAAGCATCATCTCCAGCAAAAGACCTTTCCTTATCCATACTATCTCCATCCTTCACACTTATCAGCATATACTACAAATGAATGATTATCAACTAGCTCAGGGGAAAATGTAAATATGAAACAGTTTTAAATTTAATCTGCAATATTAACATTATCTCCATCATTTTCTTAAATCTAGACAACCAATAAAACAGTAAATCAAGTCTGGATTTGTAGCGTTTGCCAATTTCCAAAACATAAATGCTTACACTGAAAATTTAACAATTGTCTCTCCTGGTACAAGCTGGCTCCAGCATGCCCTCAACTCTTTCCCTTTTCATTTTGAATTGCTTTGTATTTATTTGGTATGAATGTTGCAGTTTCTTAATGAATATTGAATGAGTTGAATTGAGTTAAACTTCTAATAATCATCATCAAAGGATGGCATCACTGTTACCAGTATAGGTTTCCTCTACTTGTTCAAATTTTATCATCCATTTGAGCCCTGAATCCCTTTAGATGGCAAGAAAGTTTAGCAGAATCAAAAAAAAAAGAAAGAAAGAAAATGGACCTAAAACAGAGGAAGAGATAATAGAGTAAAACAGCTGATTTATAAGGGTCTGGTGTGAGCCACTCCTAAAAATGAAGGAAAAAACGTTACTTTAAGGGTATATCATTTTAAGAGTAAAGAAAAAAGTAATTGGTGGGAGCAGAACTTCCTAGGAAGATTGGGCGTATGTGGTGATTTTCTAGATCAGGGGTGGGGAACCTGTGGCCTCAAGGCCACATATGACCCTCTAGTTCCTCAATTGTAGCCTTTTGATTGAACCTAAACATCACAGAACAAATCCAAACAAATCACAGAACAAAATAAAAGGATTTGTTCTGTAAAACTTTGTGGCTTTGAAGCCATAGTTTCCTCACCCCTGCTTTGGATCATCTGTCCCCACTTCTGACAATAGAGAGTTCTATCTTTACACCATTTTATCCTATATGTCTCCTGCCTTTCTCAGGCAAACTTCTGGAGAGTGTGAAGGGGGATAAACTTTCCAGCCTTGACTTCTCTCTGACTCATCAACCCTTTGTAACTTGCTTTCTGACCTCCTCTAAACTGTAACTAATCTCTCTAAAGTTTCCAATGATCTTTTAGTTGATAAATCTCATAGTCTTTTATTAATCATCCTTTTTGAACTCTGGAGCATTTGCCACCATCTCCTTCCTCTTTTCTCTGGTTTTCCTTCTGCCTGAAGGGAAAGTATGCCTCCTTCTCAGTCTTCTTTGTTGGATCATCATCCATATCACACCCTCTATGAGGGTTTTCCAAAGCTCTGTTCTAGATCTTCTCTACACTCTGTCTAGTTGTTCTTATGTCCTCCCAAGTGTTTTATTTATTATTTCAATGCAGATATGCTATTAGATAAACTCCAGTGTGTTCCCAGATCCTTAGTCACATATCAATTAACACCTATTGGGCATTTCAAGGTAGATGTTGTAGAAATATCTCAAACTCAACCAATCTAAAAAAAAAAACAAATAAGCAAACAACAACAAAACAAACAAGCAAAAAAAAAACCTCTCACTACTCCTCTTCTAAATTCTCCTTTTTCATCATTCTTCTAGTTCACTGGGTTTGTAACCTTGATGTTATCCTTGACTTCTGAGTCTTACTGATACTATATAACTAGTAAGTTAACAAATCTTAACTCTCACCTTACCTTTGTATTTATACATTCACAGCTTTAGTTATTTATCACCTCTCACTTAGACTACTATAATGATCTCCTGACTGGTGTCCACACAACTACCAAATTTATTTTTGGTAAGTGGAGATTTGTCCATGTTACTCCCCTACTCCCTAATCTCCAATAATTTTCTATTGTCTTTCCTATAAAATATAAACTCTTCACTTTGGCTTTTAAAACCCTTCACAACCTAGCCCCATCTTATCTGTTGAGGCTCATTATTACTTAACTCGCCTTTCTACATGCTATGATCTAGTTAAACTATCCTTTTCTGTTCCACAGATATGGTCTTCCATCTCTCATCTTGATGCCTTTGCAATGCCTTCTACTTGGGCAGTCTTTCCACAATCCAGCCTCATAGATGTCCTCTTTTCCTTTAAAATACTTCTAAATGGTGGATCAGGGGAATAGATTAGGTGCTCAATACATAGTAGTCAATTAAGTGCCCAATATATAGTAGTAAATAATCATAACAATCTAGTGTTTCAGAAATCCAAAAATCCAAGTTTTGGGGGTAACAATTCAACATTTGCCAAACATTTCTGGGAAAACTGGGAAGCAGCTTGGCAAATGCAAACATCTCACACTGTGTATCAAGAAAAAGTCAAAATGGATAAATGATTTGGACATAAAGGGGTATATCATAATTAAATTAGGAGAGCATAGAAAAATGTATCTATCTAATCTATGGATAAAGGAATAGTTTATGGCTAAACAAGAATTAGAGAGAATTACAGAAAGTAAAATGGATAATTTTGATTAAATGAGATTTAAAAAGTATTTTTTTGCACACACACATACACATAAACACATATACACACACACAAAACACTGACTCCAAAATTAGAAGGAAAACAGGAAACTGGGGAAAACTTTTATAATAAGTTTCTCTGATAAAGTTTAATTTCTTCAATACATGGGGGGGGTTGAGCCATTTAATAAAAAAATACAAACCATTCTTCAGTTGACAAATGATCAAAATTTATGAACAGAAAGTTTTCAGAAAAATAGTTTAAAGCTATAAATAATCAAACAAAAAATTGCTCTAAATCACTATTGATTAGAGAAATGCAAAGTAAACAACACCAAAACACCGCACACCTATCAGACTGGATAACATACAGAAAAGGAAAATGACAAATGCAAGAAGGGGGTGTCAAAAATAGGAACACTAACACTAATGTACTATTCATGGAATTGGAGAACAATTTGGATCTAAGCCAAAGAGCTAAAAATTGTGCTTACCCTTTACCTGAATGATACCACTGTTAGGTCTATATCCTAAAGAAATCAAAGAAAAGGGGAAAGCACCTATTTGTACAAAAAAATATTTATAGCAGCTCTTTTTATGTTGGCAAAGAATTGGAAATTGAGAGGTCACTCATCAGTTGGGGAATGACTGAAAATAATTGTATCATGTGATGGTAATGGAATACTATTGT